ATCGACTAATTACCGAAAGGAATTATCGAACAGCGTTAGTATTATGTCGACGATACAAAGGTACGAATACGAAGGCTTTAAACGAAACGATCGAAATCCGAATAATCGCGATTGGAAAGGCTGAATGAACAGCGAGGAAAAGTGGAACGTATTCTGTGACATGCATTCGCGAACGACTTCATTGCTGGGCAGAACGAAAGGAAAACGGTACGTTGCACCGAGAGCATGGCAGGGCTTCGTAAGTCAAGTCATCTGAACCCCGTTAGCTTCGTCATCTATTGGTCTTCTAACGTAAGAGCTACTAGACACCAAAGCGGAGCCAAATGGATTTACGTCTCCTTATGCCGAGGATAGAACCGTAAGGTTTCAGCGGCGTGCCATCTCTTTCGCTTTTTCGATCGGTCATTCGCAAATTAATCCGTTTCTCTCACGTTAACTTGCTTATCGGTACACGTGATGCCTACTCATCTTTGCTCCTTCCAAGACACATCCTACCCTCACCTATATTTCTAGCGATTTATAAACGATGTTCTTCTACGATATTCGTTCAACGCGTTAGATAAGTTTCACCGACTGCCACGTGTTCCAAAATGGTACGTAAACAATGTGCATCGGTGGTTCTAAGTCATCCTCGATCCGTAATTCGACCACGTGCTATCTTTTTCATTCATTTACTTTAGTACGTTAAGTTTTATTTTACGACGAGCACGTAACTCCGTTAATTTCGCTTCTTTTATCGAACTTTCTCTCCCCGTGTGCGCGACACCGATAAATACCGATTTTTATTAAAAACTGCCTTCCTTTTGTATGTCGCAACTTATTTGTTGCGAATTTTAACCCCTTGCACTATGACTTATTTGTCAAGTGCGTCAGACAGAACTGCGCAGTTAAGCTATTAATATTAAAATATACAAAAAAATTGAAACGTTACTTCAATGTGTTATTATTCAATTGTTGACTATGCAAATTATAATTGGACTTGAACTATAAATCGAAGCGTATTAAAAATTTGAGCAAAATTGATGACGGCCGAGGTACGAGTGCGTCACGAGTCAGACTCGTCAAAATAGTGCAAGGGGTTAAAACCTGATCGTTCGTTCTCGTACTTCTACTTTTACGAGCACGATGAAATATGCACGCTCGTTATAAAACGCAAGTCGAAACAAAGGAAATATTCTGATAGATTTCTCGGATGTAACGAAATGTTAAAAAAACTTCAATCTCCATTTTCCCCTCGTCGAAAACATTCGATGTACAAAGAATTTCACGATCACGAATATTTGAACCAATATTTTCGCCGCTATTCTCTGCCGTTACCAACTTTTCTGATTATCTGTTGAAAGTTCGAGCGTAAATGTCCGCGACTTGATCGCAAGATTAATGAATATCGTCGCGATACGTCAACGATTTTGTCGTGTTAAGCAAAAAAGCTCGATGCAATTTTCGCGTTCGAGTTTCTCGTCCCGGATTTATGACTCTGGGATAACGTTTGAAGACGCATCGTCTTATTTCTCGTAATAAAAACCCGACAAGTAACTGGACACCCGTTACGTTCCCCGTGTCTTTCCTACGAGAAAATATCATTCCCAGAAGGGAACGTCGCCGCTGGAAATCCTCGAGTTTACTGACCTCGCAAGACGTTTCCATCGTGACCGTATCAGGAATCACTGGACGTTTGCCGATTTCCGAAAAATCGATCTTTAAACCGTTCAACTGTTTCTTACGAGGAATTAGATATAATTATTAAAAATCGTAGTAAAATGTTTTACGCGTTTATCGATATAGCCGTATCAAATTTTACCATGGTGGAATATAGTGTTTTGATTTCATCGAATGAACATGCTGTAATTGTAAATGCTTCTTTCTAACCACGTGTTCGTTTGGCAAGCCTATTGAATTCGTACGGAGTCACGATTCGTTGCAACACCCGCCCTCTAATCACGGGGATGTTTTCGCTCGTTGTGCCGCGAAAATAAAGAAAAAACCTAATTCCCGTCGTAACGAGACAAGATAGAAGATCCATCGATCGTCACGCCGTTAATATTACCACGTGTTGTATCCTCGCACGCTACATCGCCACGCGGCAGTTTACCACGCGGATCGACGACGCAAGAAAAGCAGCTAGTTGGAGTAATAGCGAAGCAAGGAATGGAGAAGATATTTTCTGAGTAGAAGCGATTTAGCACTTTTGAAAGAAACGTTGCAGCGAGGAAAGTACAGTGCAAGGCAAAATTACTTGTATAATTGTACGCAAACCGTAAATACGCAGAGAGTGGAATGATTGTACGTAAAAGTTGGTGGTAATTACCGCGTTCGTCTGTTCGATATTGGCCGCTTTTTCGGTTGAGCATTTTTGTTTTTCGTTATTCATAAATTGTAATAACAAGAGAAAGAAAGAAGCAATGACACGATTCGAAGCGAAAGGAAGAAAGAAAAGAAGGAAAAAGGAAAATCCCGGTAGAAAAACAAAGAAAAGTATACATATAAAGGGATAGAACGGGAGTGGAAGAGAGAGAAGAGTATCGGGCGCGGGCGCGAGAGAGAGAAACGGGGTTGTAAGGGGTAGAAGAAGAGAGAAAGAGAAGGGGGTAAGAAGGAGAGGGAAACGAGGGAAAGAGAAAGAGAGGTGGCACGCGCAATGCGGGTATTGATTCACGGCGGCAGCCGGCAACCAGCCTGAAACACACAACCGAGTCGACTCGACTCCATGACTCTGACTCCGACTCCGACTCCGACACCGACTCCGACTCCGACTCGATTCACCACGGTGACACACCACCGGTAAACGGGAAGGGGCTCTGTGTGCGTGTGTGTGTGTGTGTGTGTGTGTGTGTGGGTCGAGGGAACGGCTCGACTACGCCTGGCTACCGATCGGTTCAACGCCGAAATCGTACCTTTCGACATCCTCGAATCTGCTTGCGGTTTGCCGCCACATTTTCTTCGCTAAATCGAGCTTCGGCTACCGATCGACCACCGACGGGACGCCACGTACTTTCGTCTTATCAATTCAATGTTTGTAGAGAACATTTTCTTAAGGATACGTTCATTCGATCGCGACCTACTTCGTCAACTATGTTTCTGGATCGTTCCAATCTGTCTCGTTTTCCGTCTTTTATGGATTCTTCTTTCGGCGATTACGATCATGTTCTTTCGACACTTCAACAGTCTCGTGTCAACGTTTCGGCGGCCGCTGTCCCGTAATTACGACATCTTCGCGTTTCACGCTCTTACTTTTACCTGCTCCTTCGGATACGGGATGTTAATTAATAGCCCTTGGTTGGGTAAGTCGGAGAATGTAAAATGACAAGAACTCGATTCTACGAGAATTGAATTTTCGGAAGGTTAACAAACGAAATATTCATGATTATTTTATACGAAATAATCAGGTGGCAAAAGGTAGACATGTATGAAGCACGGGAATCCAGAATAATTTAAAGTTATTCCAACAGGTATAAAGAACAGTTTTTAGTCAATGCGAGTTTTGTTATAAATTGTTATTAACGGAACCCCGAGTGAACGTTTTGGAATGTTCGATTTATTACGCGATTATTAAAGGGACACAGATATTTCGAAACGAAAGCAACAAAGGAATTGTTGGTTGATCTTTTCGGTGGCTTCTTCGAACGATTTGCAACTCATCTTTTATACGTGGATGTCTATAATCGTGACCGGGAATATTAAGAAGCAAAAATAACGAATAGGACTAGAGTTAAGCATCGTTATCAGAATTGTATACGTATCGTCCGATACGTATCGTCTGGCAGTGAAAGGGTTAAAGAACGAAAGGTAAAAATCGTAAGAATCGAAGCGGAGAAACGACGTCGCGAAATCGACGACGTCTGTGACCGTCTTAATGACAAAGGTCGAGAACCTTGGCGATTTCGTTCGCGATAGCGCAGACCTAGTTCCACGTAACGTCGATTCCTTTTATTGATTCTATTTTTACAGGGTTAGAGCAGTCACCTTCGAGACGATCGCAACGACAGCTGTCGCACGGTCAATCGCGATTGAACGACGTTAAAGAACAGAAAACGACATAATAAACATCGTATCGGTATTCGATCAAATAGAAACGTACGCGACACATTTAACTCTCGAAGCGATTCGAATCTCCCGATTCATTTTTATGTTAATATCGAGAAGCTATCGGTATTACAATTAATTTGGAAGGGTATATAAAAATATTTGACCGTTTGTATAATTAAAAATCAAATCCAAATTTAGCGATCGCTACCAAGGCGGTCCGTGTTAAAAATATGAAGGAAGGGCTGAACGATCGAAGATTAATCGATAAGGGAAAAAGCATGAAAAGAGGCTGGCGAGAATACGAAAATACAAACACCTCGCTGAATTAGAGCTTAATTCAGCCGCAGTAGAGAACACCCTGTAGTAGTCGGACGCAACCCTCCACTGTCGCCATCTCTAACCGTATCGGATGAGTTAAGCTTTCTTATAATACCTCGATTACTCGACGTTGGTAACATAATTATCACGGAAAAGCATTACTGTCGGTTTTAAGCTTTATCATACACTCGTCGTCTTTCACCCTTTCTCTATTTATCCCTCTCGATCACCTTTCATTTTGATACGTTATTAATCGTTGATAAGTACGATATTCGTTCGTACTGACTCGACAAATAAAAGAACAGTTTTCTACGTAGGTTTCATTTATGACCGTAGAAGATAAGCCATAACCCACGCTGCCGGTTGATAAACATCACACAGGAAACCTTACTGAGTCTATACGGGTAACGATCTGTATTACCGACAGTTGCAGTGTACCGGAAACCGATAAAGAAGTATACCGGAAACTGACGAAATTCAACCCCTTCGTCCATCGACACACGATGTTATCGATACTAGATAGCACCGGTCATAAATAAATAAGATTTTCTTGCTTCTATCAAAATTATTTGAGCTTTTGCATCGGTCCAATACATTATCATAAATAACGCGTCGGAAAGAAGTTGAGAAAATGATGATGAGAGAAGAAGACTCACATGATATCGCCGAGTTTAATGCGAGTATGGACGAGGGCGCAACTCTTGTGGTCACTGGTGGTAACCGCCCTGCGCCTTCTGGCGGCGTATCTCTGTATATCCGGTGGTATCGCAGCATCGTTCGAGTTTCCGGAGGCAGCTTGTCCGCCATATCCTGCGAGGCCCGCACCTCCACGCACCAGCGGGCTACTGCCACGCCGACGCGTCGACATGTGCCGGCCTCCCACGCCGCCCAACATCCTGCAATACAACAAATTTATCCTTCGTTAATAACAATTATTCTCCTCGAAACCTGCTTAAAATTCTACAATCGAAGCACCTTCCCTCGAAAGATATTAAATTCCTGATACGCTTCTTCGACGACCCGGTCAACGCGCCAGCTTTCACATTTTCTACTACAGAAATTTGTTATTTTTATGCGTAAAACATGTACATTTATTCCGGAAAAAATTGCATTCGAACCCGAACAAATTATCGCGTTAAGAAACTACTTCTGCGGAGTTTATAATTGTCCGATGTAAATGCTTCGGACAGTTACAAGACTGTTGGTCTCGCTTCGGATGAAGGTTCTCTTCCGAGGGAAAATTGGTACATCTGATTAAGCAGGACACGTAGCCAACTAAGGAGATTAGAAAGAAATTAAATAAGACCGTTTTCCACTTTAATTAGGTTAAGTTGATTGTCCTAATCTGAGAGGATCGTGAACCTGACAAGTCACGCGATCCAGTTTTTCTAACTTTTTAAGTATCTTTAACTTACTAAATTCATCCCGTTAAACTTATCACTCCTATAAATAATCCCTCGTTTGTGCTTCTAACGTCAATATCAGGCAATCACCGATGGTAATGTATCTGCTGTTCCTATTAAGAGTTCAATATCCTCCCTCGTTTCCATTTATACTGTCCCTCGTACTACAGTTCCTTTAATTTAGTTTAAACGTAAACCATGTTGGTAGTACCGTCCACAAGCTGTGTCGAAACGTTCCAACGTACTCATCGTTCAAACCAATTAAATTAACTGGAAATTAGTAAAATATTATTATATATTACGAGTGCTTCTCCGACTACCCTTTTACTCTTTTCTGGTTCTTTGAAATTATTCCATGAACAGTATGATGGTCATTTTGCCCCACGGTGCCGACAAAAAATTAAAAATACGTTCTGAAATTTACAAATATTTAAATAGCTATAAAAATTACCGGGTCCTTTATACTAGTTCCGGATTAAATTGTAAATGTCAAGCACCACGAAGAAATAAAAGAAAAGCACGAATGGCCTGCACAACACGTAGCATTAACGGGGAAAGGAAAAGAAAAGAACAAAGAAACATTTCATCGAATGCTTATTTCTCCTTGTTTTAATAATCACGATGAACCGTAATGGGCTAGAAAGCGCTTTCGAACGAAAGAAATGAATAATCACGCAGAAAAGTTTGCTTATCGGGTTCTCGTGAATCAGCCGCCTCGTGCCAGTCATTATCGAAAGTGATTAAGCTCCGTATGTAGTCAGACAGCGGCCTACTATTCTAAGTGGTTTAACTTGTTGGTTGCTCGAACCAAATGGTTCGCAATTCGCGTAACGCGAATAGTTTCGTTAGTTCGATATACTCCCTCAATATCGTAAAATTTTACAAACAATATGTTTATTTCGATGGTTTTTAATGAGACGGTTTCGTTGATGCGTGAATCGATCTAAAACCTAAGTTAGGCCTAACGAGAGTTAAAAATACGAACGGTCTAAATATCAGCCACGCAAAGCGCTAAAAATTATTGGAACCGATGCGATGCAAAGATACGGGAAGATTCATGGAAGCGTTCGTGTCAAGTCTATTTTTCGTTCCGTAAATGTTAGTCACACCGATTATCGCGATACCTCTTGTGGATAATTACAATATACGAAGGAAAGAGAAGGAGAGGATTAAAGAAAAATAGAAAGAGTCAGCGACATCCATAAATTTCATTCTGGTCCTGTGTCGCCACGCAACCCCTTGTTATCCTTATGTATTTTTTCCCTCGAGTCTTCTCTAAAGTGTGTTCTATTTATTCCAGCAGCTCGCTTTCTTTATACAGCCTGGTCCCTAGCCATTTGTCCTTATTACGTTTCACCACGGACCCGTTCGTGTCTTTTCTCTGTTTTCTTGCTCGAAAACGAAGTACCACCGCGAAACAAACAACAAAATGATTCATAAACGCGCGACGACGCTTCAGGGTGATAAATCTAAGCGCGCAAAAACATCCGTAAAGAGAACGCGTATGGATGTAATTAAACATCTAATTGTTCTCGCTTAGTCCCGCGATCTTCTAATTGCGCTTGGATTCGAATAGTACACCAAGCTCTCGTTTTATTGCCACGAAGACAAACGGACTACGGGAACGGAAAGTTGTTGGAATCATGGAGATCCGCGCGAACCGACGAACGAGTCGTTCAGGATTTATTTGTCGTTTCCGAACGATGGAAAGAGAAAATTATTCTTCCAAACTCGACTTCCAAATTGCTCGTTTTCCATCGTCGTTCCTCGGTTTATCGTTCGCGGCATTTTTATTATCCATCGCTCCTCTCGAAATCGATATCGTAGCAGTTTTTTAATTAACTCAGCTCCGAAAGTTCCGACGTTTGTTTGAAAATTATGTGCGAGTGTTGGAGGTAAACGATAACCAAGGATCCACGGCTGCGCGCATCCGGCAGCTTTGAAATCTCGTTAGGAGTTTCTTCGATTTCCGGTATAAGTAAACTGTACCACGGGGATTTGTATCGCTACGCGTCTTGTTCCGATATTATCCGATATGATTTAACGCGGCCACCGATGTAATATAGCGAACGCGACGCAAATCGAATCAAAGCAAGTTTCGCCTGGAATATCGAAACTCGGAATAGTCGAACGAGCTAATAATCTCCTCAAATATAATTTCGATTCGTCTAATATTACTACGAAATTCGAAACTTTGACACAATCTAAAAGCTTCAAAAGCTAATTTTAAATTCTTCGAAATATTATTTCCATACTCCGAAATATTATTTCTGAATGTTTTGACAAATTTGATGCATCGTGTATCGTCTTAACGGGATCGAACTTTAATAAAATGCAAAATAAATTAAGTTAAACGACACGGAAGACAATACGTTGAATAGGTTCAGCTCGAACAACGTCCTTCGCGTAGAAAACAATGACGTGATTTTCGATTCAGTTCGACTGGCAGCTAGCAGATTGAATCGTGGCGTGGAATATTCATCGACGATGATTTCCGCGCTAACACACCGCACTCCAGTTATTTGCACGAACGAATTAATATCTGACCGTTTCATCACCCGAGTAACATGAATTCCAATCTGTTACACGCGTAACTAACTTATGCGCGACCACTTATCCGAAAAGTAACAGTCGTGAAATCCTCACCGCAATCGAGGATAACCGTTTAATCCAATCTTTTTCGTTAGCGCCAACCGCTAAATGGTTCGTTTAACTTTAACGTCGATCAACCTATCGTTCCTTGCTAATTGTAGGGTGAAAATCAGTACAGATATCGATACACGTTTTTCGGTATCGAATGACTTAGAAACGTAACATTTTTTACGGATTATTTCCGCTTGATACCACCCCGATTTAACCCCTTGCACTATTTTGACGAGTCTGACTCGTGACGCACTCGTACCTCGGCCGTCATCAATTTTGCTCAAATTTTTAATACGCTTCAATTTATAGTTCAAGTCCAATTATAATTTGCATAGTCAACAATTGAATAATAACACATTGAAGTAACGTTTCAATTTTTTTGTATATTTTAATATTAATAGCTTAACTGCGCAGTTCTGTCTGACGCACTTGACAAATAAGTCATAGTGCAAGGGGTTAATAGTGTCTTCTGAAGTATCATTGTGATGAATTTGTGGATAAATTATAACTTACAGATGGAAAAGCGAACGCTGTAAGTAAGTATAGGTCCAAAAGGGACACCCTGTACATTTGGTATTCTCATCATCCCCACTACGCCGATTCGTTCCCGGTGCTCGAAATTTTAGGATAGCAACCTGTTGCTAGGCACCCCTGGGAACTCTTATCCCACCACCTCGTTACCCGGCAACCCCTGTTTCCCCCTCTCTATCTCCATCGCGCTCCACGCCGACTACCCTCCTCTGACGCGCACGGAATAACTAAAAGGATCCCTCGCTGCTTCTTTCTTCGATCGTCCACATCCGACTCTGCTCTCCCTTTCTGTCGCACGCGTCGTGAACCCTTTAGGACTTCCCGTGTAAATTCGTTTCCTCCTCGAGCACAGTGCCCCGCAGGAGAAAGTGAACAAACAAAGACAGATAATTTAATGAGAGGTTATTGTTCAAAAATCGATACGTTCACGGATTAGGAGCATCGTATCTTCCTTTTCGATTTCAAATTTCCAAGCTAAAAGCGTAATGACGTATAATTATCCGAGGTAGCAAATGAAACGTTGATTGTAATTCTCTATCTCTTAAAGATAAAAGTAACTTTTTATAGGAAATACTGCTGCTCCTCGTAATGATTTTTTTTCTCACGAGTCGTTATTGAGACCTTCCTCGTCCACGCCTCTTCCTATTCGTTCACCGAGAAGTCACTCGACTTCTCCTTTTGCTTTCCGTCGACTTTTTTTCGTGCTGGAAATCTTTATTTCCTCCCCTGGCGAGTTCGAACCTTACCTTCCCATTTCTTGCCGCGCCAAAAGGATATATCTTCTCTTCGGCTGGTGTGTATGCCAGCCGTGGGAAATCTAATAACGAATCGGAGGGGATCGACCGACTCGCCGTGAAATTAGTTCCTCGCGTAAAACGCTGCCGAGGGAGCGGGAAATCGGACCAGAAAAATCCCTTCGAGGGTTCTGTGATAACGGTACATAAGAGGAACTCGGGAGGGAAAGGAATGACAACGCAAACATACCACCGGTCTCCGCTGAATCCGAAATTTCTCCCTGTTTGAGGATCTATCGCGATCCAAATATTGTCCCAATAGTTCTTCCCCGCCTTCTGATCGTATTAGAACCGAGCAAATCTGGATTCGAGTTAGCTCCTCGATCGTGACGAGGATTTTTATCCGCGTACGGCATGCACACGGGTCACAAGTCACAGGAATAAAGAGTTATGCGTGCAATTTATAACGCGTCTGTCTAATGCTTCGAGTACTGTACATGACCGTAAATTACGTTTTAATTTGAATCGATTTTTACAAGTTTCGGAGCTACCGGTATATTCTATACATTTCGAGTCTAATTATAC